TTTTTTCTTAGATTTGATATTTAAGATGGTGTGAATTGTAAAAAAAATGATCAAAGTTTTTTGTAAATTATAAAAAAAATTATCAAAGTTTTTTTGTTGTGTTTTTGTAATCGAGTAAAACTTGAGGGGTGTTGTTTTGGAGCTACTTCTAAACGATCGCAGTCGTATAAATTCGTAACAGTTTTTTTTAATATTTTGCTTCATAATGTAGGAAACTTGCAGACAAAATTGCAGCTTCAGGCTTCTTGGTAGTGGCTCCTGATTTCTTCTATGGTGATCCGTTTGGCCGTGGAAAGTCTAGAGAGTCGTGGCTAGAGGCTCATAGCCCGGTTAGTGTCGAGCCATTCGTGCTATTTAGTTGTAATCATTTGCGAATACAGGATTTTAGTATAGTGTTGAGCTGCTCGAGCTCGATTTATGAGGCTCGAACTCGACTCGATAAAAAATTACAATAGCTCGAGCTCGGCTCGAGCTCGGCTCGAGTTCGACTCGAATTCAAAATGCTCGAGTTCGGTTCGAAAATTTGTAAGCGGAAAAGTAAAATTACCATTAAGTACCTATGCTAATACACATAAGGGGTATTTTAGTAATTTAATATGTACCTCGAGCCGCTCGACAATGCGAAATATGGGCTGGAGCTCGACTCGAGTTCGATCAAACTCGAGCTCGAGTCGAGCTTTGACTCGAGCGCTCGCGAGCCGCTCGGTTCGTTTGCAGCCCTAGTCTGATTGCACAAGAGACACATTGTTATATTATTTTGTCAAACTTCCTTAAAACTCCAGTGCTATTGTTACAGGACAAAGGTTGTGAGGATGCCAAGATTGTGATTGATGACTTGAGAAGCAAAGGAGTGTCCAAAATTGGAGTAGCAGGTTTCTGTTGGGGAGGTAAAATCAATTGTGTATATTATTTATTCTATTTACTTATTTATTGTTTTAGATATTTGTAAAAACTACTCTTGGATTGGACTTTGATGCTCACTAGAAAAAAAATATAGAGGGATTTTCAAAATTACAGATACCTTCCGAGGTTCGGCATGAAATTTCAATTCCATAAAAGGTGTAACAAATTTCGAAAAGTTGAATTCTGATACTATAGAACTTATATTAGAATATATATATATAGTCGACTATTCGAACAAATCATTATATTTCGAGAAATTGAATCCTGTTGTCTTTGGTTTATAGGGATGGTTGCAGTGAGATTGGCCAAATTTGACTGCATACAGGCAGCAGTTTTGTTGCATCCAGGTCCCATTACAGAAGAGGAAATAAATGGTTATATTTAGATATATTAATACTCAATTTTTCGAAAGTTAATCATGTTATTTTAACATTTATTCATCCATATAATATAAACATTCCATTTTCTTGTCATACCATGGATTTTTAGAAGTCAAGATTCCAATTGCAATATTGGGAGCAGAAATCGACGAGCACGCACCACCTGAGCTCTTGCAAAAGCTAGGAGATATTTTGTCAGCAAAAGCAGAGGTAAAAAGAAATGCATTCGTTTTGGTGAATTTTTTTAGAACGAGTGTACGTAAATAATGTAAATTTTCGTGAAAGCATTAATCTTGTGATGTTTATTCGATGCAATCGGCTTTCGTGAATAAATATTACTGTTGTAATTTTGCAGGTCGATAGCTTTGTGAAGATATTTCCTGGTGTTGGTCATGGATGGACCGTGCGATACAACGAGGGCGATGAATTTGCTGTCAAGAGTGCTCAAGAATCTCACCTGGATTTGTTAAACTGGCTTACAAAATACATCAATTAACGCTCGGTAATGAGTAAAATTTAAGATGGAATGAAATAGAAAAATACTGGATTTTATAATATAGTAAGCTTTGTTCTTCATATTGTTATATTTTAATATTGTTATATATAAAAATAGAGAAAAAGGGAGAATAGAGAGACTGTATTCTCTTTGTATGATTTTCATAATAATTTAAGCTTATATTTATAGGAAATTTATGATAGTACAATCATAATAATATAATTACATCAAATAAAAAATCATTCGCATATATGGATCTTTTATAACACTCTCTGAATTAATTATAATCACAATTAAATATCTGAATAAAATTGGCTTCTAACAAAAATAAAACTCTTTGAAACATAAAACCTAAACAAAATATATTTAATAGGTAAACAAAATATTAACCTGTCAATAAAGAAAAAAATTAATAAATGAGATGCAAACTATTTCAATAAGATTAAATTGAATTAAAATATAATCCTAAATATTATGTGGAACAAATTAAGCAAAGGATACACTATTAAGTATAAAGTATTATATTATAAACTTGTTACAATTCAAAATGTATATTATTTTCATGTTACTCTTTACATAACTACATGTCATAATAAACAAAGGATATAACATAATTATATAAAATTTACATGAAACGATTACATGGAATATAAAACTACTTAAATGTCTTTTTCAAAAAAAGGGAGTATCAAGTAGGATATAAAAGAAAATAATTATAAAGAAAAACACAGACATAGCTATGAAGAAACAAAATATGTATTTTGCAAATGAATTTATGAACATAATAATAACTAGTACAACACCCGAGTATTACATGGGTGCTTGCTAATTTTTTTTCTTAAAATCTAAAATTAATGAGAAAAAGTAGTTTGAAAATTTAAATACATTTTATAAGAATATATATATTATTATATATTTACTAGTACAATACCCGTATATTACACGGGTGCTTGTTAAAAAATTATTCTTAAATTTTAAAATTAATGAGAAAATTATATTAAATTTAGTTTACTTTTTTACAAAAAAAA